CTAAGCCCTAAGCCCTAAGCCCTAAGCCCTAAGCCCTAAGCCCTAAAGCCCTAAAGCCCTAAGCCCTAAGCCCTAAGCCCTAAGCCCTAAAAAATCTTAACTATAAATACTTAATTTAAGGGTTAAGACTTAAGTTTATATAATTATATATTATAGTTAGAGGGCTTTTATATAAATATATATTAGGCGTTAGAGTAAGCTAGATATAATATAGATAATCGTACTACTAAGATATAGTCTATAAAAGACTTATTATATCTAAATCTAATAATTTATAAGTAGTAATACTAAATATTATAATAAGAAAGGACTTATAAAATCTTTATAAAGATAATATACTAAGTTTAGACGTTAAGAATAAACCGATTTATAGATATTAATTTAGATATAGAATAGATAAAATTTAATATATATCTATAGTTAATATTTACCTTAATTAAAGTTTAATTATATAAATAATATATTAAGGCTTTAGAATAATATATAGAATTATACTTAGAACTTATAGTATATAGAAAGATAGATTATATAAATTAATTTTATATTATAATTTAGGCTAATATAGCTAGATATATTATCTTCGCGGTATTATATTCTATATAAGTAGATTAATTAGATACCGTATCTATTATTATAGTTACTATCTAATAATTAAGAATATTAAATTTAATTAAATCTTTACTTACCTTTTACGTAAGATCCTTAACCGTTACTAGCTTAAAATTATATTAAATTTAATAGAACTTATTAATAGTTAATTTTCTAGATTTTAAGATCTAACTAGCCTAGTTTATAGCTTAAACCTAAGGTAGAAACGTAGAGTAATTTCTAATATACTAAGTTAATTAACTAGGACTCTATTCTACGTAAATAGATTAACCGGGTACTATACTTACGGTTATAGTTATAGTCTAAGGATTAAGAATATTAAACTTAATCGAATCTTTACTCGCCCTTTATATAAGATCCTTAACGGTTACTAGCTTAAAATTATATTAAATTTAATAGGACTTATTAATATTTAATATTCTAAATTTTAGGATCTAACGGACCTAATTTACGCTATAAATCTAGGGTATAAAGTTTAATAGGTTCTAGTTATAGTCTATTATAGATCCGATCTTATTTTATATACTATAAGAACTTCCTAACTTAGTTTATATATTTTATACTTTCTAAGAGGGTTCTAAATCTATAAATTAGACTAAAGTAAGATATATATTTAACTAAGCGATACTAAGAATTTAATATACTTTAAGGCCCTATAGCGCTAAGGATTATATATTAAAGTTAGGGAGTTCTAATTAGAAGCCGCTAGTCGGCGATTTAATTAGCCCTATCTAAAGTACGATTTTTAACTTTAGTTCGAGCTACTACCCTTTTAATAAGGGTTCTAAGTCTAGGATTTAGACGACGTATATTTAACTACTTAGAGAAAGCTCTATAGAAGTTTCGGCGTAAATAGAGTTAAATTATAAGGTAAACCCTAGGTTACTATTAAGCTAGTTTTAGGCTAATAAGCGTACCCGCTCCGCCCTACTTAAGCTTCTAAATAGCTACTATTTAACTTTCGGAATTTCCTTTATATCCTACTAGGTTATAATCCTAAAAATTAGTATTTAGATAGAGATCTATATTATATATAACCTTATAAGTTTCTAAATAGGTTTAATAAAAATTAATAGGGTAACTTAGGGTATAGGTTTTACCTAACCTAAGGGTGCCCTACTTAGGCTTCCGTAAATAAAATACTTTAAATACCGGTATATTTCGTACTATTAGCCTAACCTAGCCTAGGTTAGGCTACCCTTATAGGATAGGACTTATTAAAATTTAATATTCTAAATTTTAAGATATAATAAGTCTAGTTTATAGTATAAATCCTATATAGAATATATTAAAATTAGGAGTATATAAAGTAAGTTAAATAAGACTCTATTCTATATAAATAGATAAACTAGTAACTATATCTATAGTTATAGTTATAGTCTAAAGATTAAGAATATTAAACTTAATTAAATCTTTACTTACCTTTTATATAAGATCTTTAATAATTATTAGCTTTAAATTATATTAAATTTAATAGGACTTATTAATATTTAATATTCTAAATTTTAGGATCTAATAAATCTAATTTACGCTATAAATCTAAAGTATAAAGTTTAATAGATTTTAGTTATAATCTATTATAGATCTAATCTTATTTTATATTCTATAAGAACTCCCTAACTTAGTTTATATATTTTATACTTTCTAAAAGGGTTCTAGATCTATAAATTAAACTAAAGTAAGATATATATTTAACTAAATAATACTAAGAATTTAATATACTTTAAAGCCTTATAGCGCTAGGGATTATATATTAAAGTTAGAGAGTTCTAATTAGAAGCCGCCGGTTAGCGATCTAATTAGCCCTACCTAAAATACGATTTTTAACTTTAGTTTAAGCTACTACCCTTTTAATAAAGGTTCTAAGTCTAGGATTTAGATAATATATATTTAACTACTTAGAGAAAGCTCTATAGAAGTTTTAGCGCGAACGGAGTTAAATTACGAGGTAAACCCTAGATTACTATTTAGCCCGTTTTAGGCTAATAAGCGTACCCGCTCCGCCCTACTTAAGCTTCTAAATAGCTATTATTTAACTTTTAGAGTTTCCTCTATATCCTACTAGGTTATAATTCTAAAAATTAGTATTTAGATAGAGATCTATATTATATATAACCTTATAAGTTTCTAAATAGGTTTAATGAAAATTAACGGGGTAACCTAAGGTATAGGTTTTGCCTAACCTAGGGGTACCCTACTTAGGCTTCCGCGAATAAAACGCTTTAAATACCGGTATGTTTCGTACTATCAGCCTAACCTAGCCTAGGTTAGGCCACCCCTATAGGATAGGGAAACTCGCTATCGCCGAGTTTTGAGGAGTCGTCGAGTTATAAACCTTATAAACCTCCGACTCACTTCTGCGACAGCTTTAGTCACGTGACCTAGTCTCCAGTCCACGATCGTCACAGTGGGAAGAACTGCCGTAAGAACAGATCCAGAGTTGGATCGAGAGGGTTCCCTTTCATATTGAGAATATCATTGGACTTGAAGGTAGAAATGGGTATAAAGAGGGGAGGGAATAGCTGAGGGGTATTGCCGAGGGGGGTGCCGGGGGGCAGCTGGGGGTTGCTGGGGGGTGCCGTAGATAGATGGAGAGATGATGGTAGGGAGGGGAATGGGGGGAGTTGAGAAAGTAAGAAATTGAAAACAGGTATCATACTGAGTTTAAACCCCACTTTGCCTAAATGGGACGAATATATTACTACCTAGCGTACAAGTAGGTGGGAAATAACTTTTGATATGGACCTCCGTACTTTATCACGCAATAGGCGACGAAACAATTTTTCGAGGAGTGCTATATAGTCGTCACTTATTCTCAACTCACGCGTAATATTGGTACAATTGCCTCGAAACACGTCTGAAAATTTACCATCCGAAATCCTCAACATGTAGAAGACCTCAATCCCCTGCGCCGAGTCCCCTTATGAACGAAACGCTCATCTCTTTGAAATCCGCCTTACCTTGTATGCTCCGCTGTCATTCTGTTCGTGCGGCCGTTTCGTACAGTGCTCAATGGCACCGTCCACATCATCTACTGAATTTAAGAGGCAGTTGGAGGGTAGGGGACTGGACGCCACTAGCTCGGCGATGAGTCGGCCGGCGAATGTATGATAAGGCTTGTATGAAACTTTTCTCCGCCGAATTGTAGGCCATTTCATGGGGCTTGTTGCATCCTTCGGATTCCTGAGCACATTCAGGAGCTCGGTGGTGACTTGAGCCTCGTAATAAAGTATGTATTCCCGATCTAATACGTGTGTCACGAGAAGACGGGACTGGAAGTGAATCAGCTGGGACCCGACAGATAGTTAAAGGAACGAACAAGCCAGAAACATACGGTGTAAACAGTTGGTTTTGACCAATCGAGCCTGCGTTCTTGAAGCTGCGCAAGAGCCAATAAGTGACACATAAAATATGGATCTTCGGTCCATTCCTTTGGGGTTGTCTGAGCTAGTCGCTTCTGAATACTCGCTCCATCGGAGTAACTAACTCCTCGTGAACCTGGACGGGGCTCAAAATGTCTCCTGCGATCTCCATTGACACTTGTGTAATGTACATAGCCTACCAACGGGGGTGAGCCATTATGGATGTGATCGACGATTTTTTCACGGCGATGAAACACAGTATATTCTGGTCGGTGAACAGGCCGACCTTGAAAATAGAATGGAGCTCCTTTACTGCTCAACTGACTTGTCAGTCACTCCGATGGAAGCTGTTCTGACAGACCGTAGCTCTTACCTAGAATATGCAAAGGTGCGCTCCTTGTCAACCAAAATGCTGATAAGACTACGATGCTTCATGGTAGGGAACGGATTCATAGCGATTACCTCGGCATCGCTTGGTGGCGTTAGGCAACGGTTTCGACTTTCATTTTTCCTGTGGTCGTTTTGAGTAGATTCTGTGTGGACAGGGGGAGTTCCGACATCCTCGAATCGACACCCCACCAGATCAAGGTGACGCGAAGTCCATTGGACAGGATTTATGAGAAATCCAGGATTGTTGCGCACGATATCACGAAAAGATTTTGACCTAGAATTAGCCGCCATTGTGAAAATGATAACGTTGGCGATGATCTTTGCGATGGTTGAAGATGGAGGCATGATGATAATGCCAGGAGAAGATTTTCACCGCCTAGCAGGTACCTCCGACCGCCTTTGCCATATAACGGACGAATCAGCCTGTAGGTTGGACAGTTGGGCGCAACCCTTTCTAGGGGTTGGGCAGTAACCGTAAATCAAAATCAATAGGTGGTCTAGAGGGGGAACCACCAATGTAACTAACACCTCGGTCATACTTTCACTATTGAGAGATATGGCTCGTACTCCTTACTTTAGCAGTGTCATTTCTGAATCCGCCTTTAAGGCTCGTTTCGAAGCCGAGAATGGGAAACTATTTTCGGAGCTAGAAAATGTAGCCGCCAGTTACTGGGGACGACCCCATTTGCTTGCATGTCGAGTAGTACGGCGGGACCCGCAGCGCAACTTGCTTCCCATCCTATCACAATATGTGACACCCTCTGATGTGCGGACTTCATCGGATGAAATCAGAGCATTCCTGCAAGGTCCCGACTTGACTTGCATGGCTCAAAGCGAGCACTATTTAGTGCGAAGGTCCAATCGTGGCATCTCTCTTGCTCAAATTTGGGCAGCAATGGCCATGTTCAAGGGCAGCCAGGATCGTCGCATGCGAGACGCATCTACTATGCAGGAACAAAACGAACAGGAGAGTGACAACGACACTGAGGCAAGGCAGCCAAAGCGTCTCAGAAGACATACGTTCCAGCCAGACTTCATCGACTCCAGCGGAATCCAGGTTGGCTCTAGCAGTCCACCGCACGACGGCTCGCACGATGGCTCCCAAGGGTCCTCTCTAGGTTATGTCGACCCTGATACACACTATTTGAGTATAACTCCGGAAGACGACACTCTACGACTTGCCTCATGCGTTATTCGACATATCCTTTATTTTGCCCCGCCCCAGAACTCACCATCAATGTCAACTGTTGTCGAGTTTCGAGACGCTAAAGCAAGACTCGCCGCTACTACATTAGTCGGGAAACGGCAGATAGTTGCCATTGACGACGGTGGCCTATGTTTGCGAGAGCAAAACCAAGGTGGATCTTTTAAACTTGCGCAGAACCACGTTGCGATTTTAGAAGCGAAGACGCAATTCCAGTGTCTTGAAAATGGTCGACCTATTATCTCTGATAGAAGTTTCGCCCAGATGGTTTGCGAAGCACTCGCATCCAGATTATCTGATGAAGGTCACAACTCACAACAAAGGTGGGCTTCATCGACTTCAGACTGTAAACGCTGAAGACCCAAATGTCTTCGCCTCCACGAATTTCCTCTCAAGTACAGACTGACATTCCCCGCAGTGTTATAGTTATAAATGCTACGCAGCACTATATGTGCTTCCTCCAAATGGACTTGAGTGATGAGTATGTCGTGGATTTTGAAAGCACCACGCCTACACAGATGTTATATGTGAGCTCTACGCCCTGGTTCGATCTCAGCCAAAAAGGCGGAAGGGAATGTGTTTTGGCCAATTTATGTGGGATTATGCGTCGAGCGATCTGCGAATAGGAGTTCGAGTGGGACTACAGTGTAACCTTACGTTTCTGGCGGAGCCCTCAAAATAGCGAGAGAAGTCTGTGAGATTACATTGTTGAAACTTGTATTTCGGAGAGACCCGACTATTCGGCTGGCGCCGTCTACTAAGGGCGACTAAGTGTGCCATCCGCGACTTAATTATAGTTAGATAGCATTGCCAGGCGGTATTTCAGTCATCCGAAGGCCAAATGCCTGATTTTGCCGTGTTTCTTCCTTAAAATACCTGATTCTGCCTTATTCCAAACTGGCGTAAGTTCGTTCAAATACTTGAAGAGACCGACTACGGGCACACTGTTTTTACTACCGGCACACTATTGACTAAAGTCTTTTTGGATATTTCCCGCTAGCTATAATTTATTCATAGGCTATCATATTTAAGATGGTACTCCCTTGGTATTTTGGATAGTACCCGAATTTTATCTGGGCACCCTATCGCGAATAGACTTCCGCACGCACCGGAATTGGGTCGAATATCCCGACCTGGCACCGGACCTAACGTTAGGTTCACCGGATAACCTAATAAAAGCCTAATTAGACCTAACTTTTATATAATTCTCTATATAAAGTGCCTTACTTATCTAAACTGACTACTATAACTTTTCCTTATTTTAGTTATATTAAGAAAGACTTTAATATTTAGTAGTATAGTAAGTTAAACTTAATAAAATATCCTTATTTATTAATATTTAAGGTCTAGTAATATATTAATTACTTAATAGAATATAAAGTTTCTTATAAAATAATACTATAGTAGTATTAGAAAACTTATATATTTAAGTAGTAGAAATATATATTTATAATATATAGTTCTAGTATAGACTTTCTAATACTAAAGAAATAATTAGAATAATAGTAAATTAGTCTAATTTTATAAATCTTATTTATTAGAGAGTAGTTTCTAGTAAAAATAAATATTATTAGTATCGAGATATTATTATATTTACTTAATAATCCCTTAATTCTAAAGTATTTAGTTAAGACTAAGTATTTAGGGTAAGAGATTCTTAAGTGATTTTCTAAATTAATATAGGAATTAGGTTTTTACTAGACTTTTACTAGATTTTCGCTAGATTTCCTAGGTTTTTATTAGGTTTTTATTAGATTTTATATAAGTATTTACTAACTTTATACTCTATAAGCTAATTAATATAAAGCTAATATCTTAGTCTATTTAATCTATTACCTCTAATCTCTACCTATTATTCTTAATTATAAGTTATTATATCTCTCTTTTATATTCTTTACTATACTTTTATCTATATCTTAAAGCTAGTAATCTAATTTTATATTATTATTTTATAAAAAAGAGGCTAATAATATCTTATATCTATTAGTTTAATTATCTACTCTCTTCTTAATCTATTCTATAATTAATAAAAGCTTTATATTAGGACCGGCGTACTAGCGGGTCCTAGCAGGTAATATAGAACTAGAGTGAAGGAATAGTAGGGTGCTAGTATATTTATAAACTAATCGCTAAAGCGCTAAGTTCCCCTAGCAGTCTCTATAGGGATAACCTTTAGCGGGTCACGGGACTAGGTTACCTAACCCGGTAGGACTTACAGTCCCTCCGCAAAAGTTTCCGTACGGTCGGGGGTCCACACCCGCGTTTTTCGCGAATAATTACATTTTTGACCCGCGTCTTCTCCCAACCCATGGTTTTTAAAAATTCACCATGGTTCCCAGGACCCCTCTACGTCCTATTAATTCTAATAGGATAAAGGGAAATGAGCTATCTCCCTATCTCCGGGGTCAGATCTTTGGTCAAGCCCAGCTAGGCCTGTCAATCGCGAAAATTGCCTAGCACTTCAGTTTATCCAAATCCACAATTCAGTATACCCTCGAGAAAGAACCTCTCCGACACGAAGGCAATAATCAAAACCGCGTCGGTCGCCCCTCGATTTTATCAGCAGATGACCGTTCTATGGTTATTCGATTGATTCGAAACGATCCCTTTATTACCTATTAAGAAATCCGCGAATAAAGTGGCTTAACTACTTCCGACGATACCCTTCTTCGAATGGTCAAAGCCTCGGGCTACGGACATTGGAAAGCGAAAAAAAGACTATATTTAAAACCGGAACACGCCGAGCTACGCCTTAATTAGGCTTTAGAGCGACGAAATTAGACGTAGGATGACTAGAAGAAGATTGTTTAGTCCGATAAATGCTCTATTAAAATCGGGAAAGGGAAGCGTTACCGTTAGGTCTTTTTCATCAACCACCGAAATAAAAAATGGAAAAAAGAACATATTACCATATACTCGAAGTCGAAAAATATCTCAATTATGATTTAGGGAGCAATATTCGGTGGTGGTTACTCCGATTTATTCTAAATAAATCGTGACTCGGAGTCAGCACGCAACGGATACTTAAGGTTCTCGTATCGCGAGGTTCTCGAGGAGAATTTACCCCAAATTTATATGGATTCGACGCGAATCTTTATACACGATAATGCTCCAATCCATACTGCGCATATTATTCGTGATTGGTTATGGGAGAATGGAATTAAGACGATGGTGTGGCCGCCGTACTCACCTGATTTGAACCCTATTGAATATGTATGGGCAAAACTTAAAGAAATGATCGACCGCCTTGATCCGGACCTTGATAAATTTGAAGGTCCCAAAGAAGATCTGATTCATCATTTCGAAGAGTTAATTCATGCTGCATGGGCGATGCTAGGCCAGGATTACTTTGATGGGTTGATTTCGAGCATGGGGCGCAGGGTTGAGGCAGTAATTGAGGCAAATGGGTGGTATACTAAATATTAAAAATATAAATTAAATACTATGTCCAATTGCCTATCTAATATATATTTTTATATAATTTTACTATATAAATTGGGGGTATAGTATTTAATTGAAGTTAGCAGGTTCGATTTGCTAAAATCAAAAATGGGAGATATATATTTGATGGGGTGCGGGTCGTACGGAAACTTTTGCGGTAGAACTGTAGTCTTTATAATGCGCTCTCTAGCGGGGGGTTATACTACCCCTACTAGGTTACGGGTCTTAGGTTATAGGACTAGGCGGGATCTAGCCTATAAGGCACTCTCCTAGTAGAGGGTCGTAATATTTTCCCCCTCCTTAAAGAGCTACGACCTCGTAGCTAAGGGTCGGGGGTCGAGGACCTCTTATAGTCGACGTAGGGAGGGTTCGAAAATAGTACGTATATCTAGCTATCTAAAAGAGAGTAATTTATCTTTATAGTAGAAGGTATAGATAGACTCGGAGCTTTAAGCGTTATCTCTCTTCGTCGCGTATAGTATAAGTTCTTTATATATTTTTTACTTATCTCTCTTCGAGTTATAGCTTTCTTTTTCCTATACTTCTTTATCTTTTCACTTTTTCTTCTTATAGCTTTTCGTCGTTTTGCTTTTCTTACTATAAGTCCTCCCGAGTTATTATAGTAGCTCCCTTTTCTTCGGTCGCGAGTACGATATATACCTCTATTAATAATTATACCCTTCCGGCCGTTATCTCCTCTACTAACCCTATAAGTACGTAGTATCGGCGTTATATAGACTATCTTAGATATAACCCGATATATATATATATCCCTTCTTTTAGCGGGATTAATATTAATACTCTTTAATATAACTATTATATAAAGAAACGGTAGTCTTATATAATAGTAAATATAGATTTTCGCTTATATTAGTAGTTATTAACGTTCTTTAAGTTAATTCTAGGCTTAATACTTAAGCTAATACTTATATTCTAATACTCTATACTACCCCTATATAGAATATATCGTTCCTTATAATTATATAGAGATTTCGAGATATATAGAATACTTTAACTTAGGATATCTATATAGGTATAGTTACGTCTTTTAGTTTTTCTCGCGTTATACTCTTTTTATCTCCTTTATTCTTTCCGCTTCTTTTAACGTAGATTTTATTAATAAATCGGATTATAGATTAGCTTTAAGCGCCTTCTCGAGTTAGATTATATATATAGTAGTAAGGATATAAATATATCTTAGAGGTTTCTTATTTAGTATAAGTAGTTATTATATTATATTTTTAGAGAGTATTAGTTATATTATTTTTTATCTTATTTTTTAGTAATAAATTCTTATATATCTTTATTATATATCTATAGTCTTTTTAGGATATTTTTTATCCGCTTCTTATCTTTATTAGTATTCTAGATCCTCCCTCTATCTATCTATAGTATATATTAGTATAGCTAGTTATTTTCTAGAGATCTATTTAGTAGTTAGCTATTAGATTTAGCGTTCTTAAGTTTACCTTAGTTTTTCTATCCTTTTTAGAATATATTTAGCGGTAGATCCTAGATTATATTAACTTCTTCTTTATAGATCTCCTTTAATATATTATATACTTTAGCCGTTCTTTTTTCTTATTATAGTAGTTTTTAAATACTAATATATCTTCTATATTTTCTCTTAGCTCTTAGATATTTTCCTTATACCTATATCCTCTTTATTTAATAAGGTATTTAGCGCTTTTATAGTTATTAGTAAGGATCTCCTCGATCTCCTATTTAGGCTAGTTATCTACTAATATAGGATTAAGCCGTTTTTAAGTTCTTAACGGATCTCTATAGTATAATTCTAGTATTAAAGTATATTATATAAAGTAGATCTTATAGTATCTTAGTATAAGAATTAGTTAATATACCTATTATCCTATTATACCTATTATTACGAAGGGTCCTATATAATAGTTATCTAG